CATACACAAAAGTAAATTAGAAATGGATCAAAGACCTGAATGTAAGTCATGAAACCATAAAAGTTTTAGAAAAAAACAAAGGTAAAAATCTCTTGGACATAAACATGAACAACTTCTTCATGAACATATGTCCCCTGGCAAGGGAAACAAAAGCAAAAATGAACAAGTGGGACTACATCAAGATGAAAAGCTTCTGTACAGCAAAGGACACCATCAATAGAACAAAAAGACATCCTACAATATGGGAGAATATATTCATGAATGACAGATCCGATAAAGGGTTGACATCCAAAATATATAAAGAGCTCATGCACCTCAGCAAACAAAAAGCAAATAATTCAATAAAAAAATGGTCAGAGGAGCTGAACAGACAGTTCTCTAAAGAAGAAATTCAGATGGCCATCAGACAAATGAAAAGATGCTCCACATCGCTAGTCATCAGAGAAATGCAAATTAAAACCACAATGAGATATCACCTCACACCTGTAAGGATCGCCACCATCCAAAAGACAAACAACAATAGATGTTGGCAAGGTTGTGGAGAAAGGGGAATTTACTGCTGGTGGGAATGTAAATTAGTTCAACCATTGTGAAAAGCAGTATGGAGGTTCCTCAAAAAGCTCAAAATAGAAATACCTTTTGACCCAGGAATTCCACTCCTAGGAATTTACCCTAATAATGCAGCAGCCCAGTTTGAAAAAGATAGATGCACCCCCTATGTTTATCGCAGCACTGTTTACAATAGCCAAGAATTGGAAGCAACCTAAGTGTCCATCAGTAGATGAATGGATAAAGAAGGTGTGGTACATATACACAATGGAATATTATTCAACCATAAGAAGAAAACAAGTCCTACCATTTGGAACAACATGGATGGAGCTAGAGGGTATTATGCTCAGTGAAATAAGCCAGGCAGAGAAAGACAAGTATCAAATGATTTCACTCATCTGTGGAGTTATAAGAACAAAGAAAAAACTGAAGGAGCAAAACAGCAGCAGACTCACAGAACCCAAGAATGGACTAACAGTTACCAAAGAGAAAGGGACTGGGGAGGATGGGTGGAAAGGGAGGGATAAGGCAGCGGGGGGAAGAAAGGGATCATTATTATTAGCATTTATTATGGGGGGGCACAGGGAGAACTGTACAACACAGGGAAGACAAGTAGTGACTCTATAGCATCTAACTACGCTGATGGACAGAGACTGTTATGGGGTATGTTGGGGGCCTTTGTGATGGGGGGTGTCTAGTAAACATAATGTTCCTCATGTAACTGTAGATTAATGATACCAAAAAAAAAATCAAGGCTCAGCAGGCCTCAAATAACAGATATGGTAATAAGAATTGAACCCAGATCTATTCTTCCCTTTCCCTCCATTTTGTCTGTACGTAGAACTATTTGACCAACATGAAATACACTTAGATAATTTTGATATCATGAAATATTTTTAGTTCAGGAGGATTTATTTGTATGTATTATGGCATACAAATACATGATGAAATTAACATTTTTATGGCCCACCAACATACATACTGGAAAAGAACAGGATTACTCTAGGCAGGCATATTCTTAAGAGAATGATTTGTACTCTGGTAATTCCATTATTTTAACCTAGGTCATTGAAAACCATCTATTAAATTACTTATCTCAGTAATTAACACCTATCCTGTTGATCTATAGTTTTCTGTATCCTTTGAGTTTTCTCTGTTAGGATTTTTGGTGATTTCTTCTATGGCTCTTGGAAATTTTCCATGATTTTTTAATGATTAATGACAGTAAACTATGAAAACTGCTTTTCTAAGTTTAAACATGTTTTACTAGTTATATACACTTTAGATTCTTTGTATGGGTCTAAATGCTGAGATATTACAATCATTAAAATTTTCTGTAAACTTCCATGTTGTCAATTCTTTTTCTTTTCTCCTTGGCAGAGTTAAATCCAAAGTACTATTTCTCTTTTCATTCCCTTTATCTTCTGACAAATGAAACTATTAAGTCAAGAATTAACTAGCTGTTCTGATAATAACAGAGTGACCATTTAGTAGGTATCTACCGTTTCTTTATTATTTAACATTTTGAAGAATTTCAGTAATCCTCATTTTAGAATAATTGAAGAGGTCAAATGACTTTGTCACTCAGAAATTATGTGAGCATAATTCTAATACAGGAAAACATTATACAACTAAAATTACCATGTATATAATATGCCAGAAATCTATAATTTTAACCATCAGATCAATGTTGTTGGCTTTTTTTCTACTGAAATTCATAGTAAAAAATAC